CCCACCCACACCCCACACCCCACATCCACACACCCACACCCACACCCACACCCACACCCACCCACTACCTACACCCACACCCACACCCACACCCATCTACACCCACACCCACATCCACCCACACCCACCCGCAAAACGAATATTGCTGAAGTTTGGAATCTGTTTGAAAGCCTTTTGAACATAAATAATAAAATTTCGCACCAAAGACTGTAGAAGCGTCAAGCATTGAGCTTTATATATTTTCTTCGTCACAATTAGTCTTGATGACGTCATCAGCTGCCTGACTCCAGCTCATTCATGCTGTTAATCATTAATTATCAGCTAACTCCATGTTCCGTCTTGCCAAATCTAAGAGTATTTTCTGATTCCAAATGCCACCATAACGTAACGAACTATTCTACTACAAGGTATTATTATCGCGGTCGTTGTTATCGCAACTCGAATTCAGATGGCGAGCATACTGAGAAAAAACAAACGATGGCATGAAATGCTTGTTGTCGACAAGAAGGTACATGATTCATACTTTATTTTCTATGTTGTTTGTCAAACTCCGTGGTTTCATTCATTCTTATGCATATGCCATTCTCTTTCATTCTACCGTTGAAACATGACGATGCATGGTCCAATATTTGTCTTGCACAGGGGTGGTACTGCATCTCTACTTTATTGAATAGAACAGAACGTATAGACTTAACTTAGTAAAGTAAGTTCAAATATTATATTAAGGTTAAAATGACTAAAGGTTTATTAGCTCATTATCATGTATTGATTACGTTGCAATACATGAAAGTTTATTCAAGATCTTTTTTCAAATAGTTAGTGGAGAACGACACGAAAAAAGTAATTACGAAAAAATGAACATTTTTCCTGTATTGATATGTCAAAGTCTGACTGTTTATAACGTACTAGCAATAACATTTTACATCAATTTTCTCTTAGAAAAAATTAATCTGCGTTTGTAAAAGAGAAGTAATAAAGTAAAATCGTGCTGTTTCTAGTAATTTCGGAATTCCTTACTGTAAAGTATAGAATAATGCCATCATAAACGATAAAGTATCGTATTATTTTTTTTATGAATTATATCTCCAAAAACCATTCACTACAATAACTATTTATATATATACTTACAACGTTACCATTACTAGATAGTTCTGTTATTGGACCATAGATTTCCGAAAAATTCATGGATTTGATTTTTTTTCTAAAGAAAGTTTTTTTTCGGAGGCTGAAGATTTTTTATAAGGTTTGATGAAATATCTTCGAGATACAAATAAATTGACCGAGGAATGAAGTACACAATTTCCAGTAACAGCTCAAATATTCAGACTCCTTGACTAAGATGGCCTATCATCAAACTTTGTTAAATTTTTTACTAGCCAAAAAAATTCTTTCTCTAGTGAAAAAATCGAATCCAGGAACTTTTCCTTAATCTGTGGTCCAGTAACGTAACTGTCAAGGGGCGGTAACTTCCCACGCATATATATATGGACTGTGAATGTAATGATTAACTTTTGGATATGTAATTCATAACAAAATCATAGGAAATCGCGTGGTTTGCGATGATAATATATTACTTTATGATTAGGTATTCGGATATATTACTTCACTTTACTTTGTAAAAGTAAAATAAAGATGTACTGCCACATCTACATGAACCAGACACTCTATGATAGACAGTGCCAGAAACTCTCCAAAATGTGAAGGAATATGTTCCAAGCCGCCAAGAATAAAACAGTTTCTCTGTGATTAGCAACAAGAACTATAATGTGTTTCACATTTTAGTTCCGCAGAGATTGCATCAACAGTTTTTTTTATAAACACGATAATTGAGAGGAACCTATAGATTATATCGGTTACACGTAAATGGTTTTATCGTACCGCAGGTAGAGAATAAGAAATATTTTTTTCTTTGCATGGTCTACCTGTATTATTTTATAAATAAAATAAAAAGTGCACTCTATGCATTAAGTGCTTCACAAGTAATTACCTTTTTCTTTCACTAGATAAAGAGAAAAATTTCTCTCTGTATGGCCTGCCTGAATTTTTTCATAGACAGAACGAAAGAGAGGAGCCTGTAAATTAAATTGGTCACACATGAATAATTTTATCTTGTTGCAAGTGTAGAGAAAAAATATTTTATTTTGGCTGCTTGGTCTGCCTGTATTATTTCGTGAACAATAGAAAGTTTGTCTTTCTGTATGTATACAATAGAGTGGTACTTATCTTTATTTTATTTTGAAAAAGTAAAGTAAAGTAATAATTAAGATTTAATGTATTACAGATTTTTTAACTAATACCAACACATTGATAACGTTTCAACATATGAAAGTTTTATTCAAATCTTTTCCTTAATAATAGGTGGAAAATGAAATGAAATACAATTACAAGAAATTCAACATTTTTCATCTATTGACATGTCAAACTTTGACTGTTTTTACATACTATCAATGACATTTTACATGGGTTTTCTCTCAAAAACTTTAAGCTTGGTTTTTAGATGACTAGTAGTAAAGTTTACAGTGCTGTTTCTACAGATGTCGGAATTTCTTATCATCGGGTAACATACTATCATCGTAAGCCATGAAGTTTCCTACTAGTCTTTCTATAAATTACAGCTCCAAAAGCCAATTACCACATTCATTATATTATCTATATATATATATATAGGCGAGACGTTATCGTTATAAGGCAGTTATGTTACTGCGAAACGAAGTAACGCAAAATTCGTAGATCTGGTTTTTTCTCTAAAGAAAGGCTATTTTCAGACAGTTGTGATTTTTTATAAAGCTCGATAAGAGGCCTCCGAAACAGAAGTAACTTGAATGAGAAAAGCGGTACAAAATTCCTAGAAACTAATCGCAGGTTCAGATTTCTTGATCCTGAAAACATTGGGCAAAACTTTATCAAATTTGTTACTTTTTAAACAATCCTTTTCTCTAATGAAAAAATCAAATCCAAGAATTTTCTGTTGCTTCGCTTCTCATCAATATAACTGTCTATAAATGATAACGTTCCACCTATATATATGTGGATAGTTAATGTAGTGATTGGCTTTTGGAGATGTAATTCATATATAACAAACCTCAGCATTAGTGAAAACAACACAAGTTAACTTTATTACTTGCCTTTTACAAGCAAAGCTTTGATTTTTTTTTAAATGTTAATTTTTTTGTAATTGTATCTCGTTTCATTTTCGGCTGGTTATTAATAAAAAGAATTTAAGTTTTTATCACTTTTCTTTATTTTCTCACAGTAAAGGGAAGATACAGTGCCACCTCTTTTCTGCATTCATCATTATTACCAAGATAAAGAGAAAAATACGCTAATATGACCGAAGCAAACTTGGAAAGGTATCGTGTCTATCGCATTCGTTGGTTTCAATTGATTATCTATGTATTGGTTACATTTGCTAACGGTCTTCTTCCTGCAGCATTTGCTGCGATCGAGTCGCAGACCGCCTCATTCTTTGCCATCACAACGACTCAGGTCAATATGTTGTCAATAGTCGTTCTTTTTATCTACGCTCCAGGCACTGTGCTGTCAACATGGGCCTTTCAACAATTCTCCATGCGAACAGTGATGATAATTGGATCTCTCATGAATTTAGGAGCATGGATTCGTCTCTTTGCACTTATCTCACCCACTCATGGTTATGCTTGGCTCATGCTTGGTCAACTCCTACCTGGTTTATCGGCGCCAATCTTTTTCAATGCAGCTGCTCTATTTGCCGCTCGTTGGTTTGCACCTGGACAGCGTGATCTCGCTACGGCCATTGGCTCTATGGCCAATCCACTAGGTTTAGCTATCGGGTTTCTGTTTCCATCTCTGATCGTGACTGATGATCCATCCTCTCAGCAGTTTCTCATCGTTCTTGTATCAGAAGCTGCCTTCGCTACGTTGACCATGCTTATAGTACTCATTGCCTACCAATCAAGTCCCCCAACACCTCCATCACTCTTCGATGAGCAAGAAGCCAGCGAAATCAAACGAGATCTTCTTTACCTCGTCACTAACCGTCACTTTCTCATCCTCCTGTTTTCGTTTAGCATAGGCTTCGCTCTTTTCAATGCATTGACTTTTCTTCTCTATCAACTTGTCGAACCAACTGGATATTCGAGTGGGAATGCAGGTGTATTCGGTGCAATTATCATTGTAGCTGGTCTTGTTAATGCGTGTATTGCTGGTGTGATTATGGATCGCACACATGCCTACCGACTCATACTCAAAGTATTGATTGTGGGTGCCTGCTGTTCGATTATTTATTTCATTGTCATTCTTCGTCCGTCCATGTTCTATCCGCTAGCTGTCTCATTCGGACTAATGGGTTTTTTTCTATTACCACTTTTACCCGTTGTATTCGAATGTGCAGTTGAGTGCACCTATCCAATACGTGCTGCATGGTCTACTGGATTACTTTTGTGTGTTGGTAATGTTCTTGGTGGCGTTTTCATTTTCATTCTCGACGATTTTATCAAAAAAGCTCCGGTCTATACATCAGGCGTTGTGTTTACGCCCGCCTCCATATTCATATTCTGTATGTCGGTAAGTAGCGCACTTCTGTTGCTTTTCTACAATGGACCCTATTTGAGACTCAAAGCTGAAACTGCATATGTTGCCGAATGTTCCACAAATATGTAGTTTATTCGTGTTTGTTTTAATCGAAGAAAATAAAGCAGCAATTTACTTTAATAAGAAATCAGTTGTATATTGTCGATTATCACAAAAATGCTATTATATCAACTAAAGTACATTTTCGACTCATTATGACCTTCGTCCGATAGTCGTACTCAAAATTCAGATAGGATTGAATCATGTGTATATCGAATGAAGTATCTCTGTGACAAGGCTATGAATCATTTCGTGTATGTATATTTTTCAGAAGAAATTCATTGCTCAAGATTCGATTGCGTATTTAGAAATTCTTCATAAAGTTCTTTACAGATTGATGCAATAATGGCTACTACGAAGCTTGAAGAATAAAACTGTAGCAAATTAAATAATCTAAATCATCAACATAACTAACTTTCAAAACTTACTTCATAAACAATTCCGCCAGTTTGTCTAGATTGAAAGAACAAATAATTATTTTGAAGGAGATTAAGATTTGGACGTAACATTCTACATTAAAAATTCAATTTCGTTTTTCTCCCAAAAAAGCATCGATTTTCTGAGGAAGTACTTATCTGGCTGATCACTCTCCAAGCAATCACAGCAATATCCAACATTTTCAAAAGTGACAATCGAACGAACATTGAGTGAGAAAGCATTTCAGCAAAGATACCATTACTAGTGTGTAAATACGAAAAAGTTCGATTCTCATAGAATTATTCTCAATTCTACTTGCTTGAGAATTGAGACCGGTGCCGTTAATTTTGAATTAAAACGTAGATTATATCATAATGATACATACTAAAAGTGTTCATTTGTGAAAACATTCGCGTGCACTTTTCAAGTATCGATGAAATCATCAAATGAGTAGCTATTACAAAGACTTCTTTGTTTTACAAAATTTCATCTATCTGCAAAACCAACCTAGTATATATCAATGGTATATTAAGAGAATGTTTATTGAGCTAGATGTTGGTGTTTCAATGTGAATGAGTGCGTAAAGATCACAATATTTTTTCATCCACTCACACCATCTTCACCGCACACCTACACTTATTCTCCTTTGTTCATTAAGCCTTGACTATTATCGAACGACAAAAATATTGTTTAATCTGTTTGAACCATTATCAAATATTTTAATTAGACAGTAACATCTATTGAATGCACCTTTTACTATAGTTTCATTACGAACAATAAATCTAATAGATCATGAACCATTGATTTCTACAGGATGCACAATTTAACAACCGTCTAAACTTAAGAATTTGTTGTAACTGCATTTGCAAAATGAATGTGCCGTAATCAAAACAGAACACTGAATGATAACTATATTTATAAGGAGCGTACTACTGCTTTCTGAAGAGTAGTGATATCTGCAACCGTTTACATGACATTTATTGAGTTTTAGTTTGACGTAGATTTTATTCTAATGTTTGTTATACTCTCTAGTATTCATCTTATAGCGTAATCTAAAGATCTATTTATTTATCCAACTTTAACATAGGTACACGTTATTGATGAATGCTCGACAAAAAAAATCAGTCATCAAACTCTTGACTTTGTGATCACATCAGAAATTTACAGCTTTATTCATCTATTTGGATATCTGTCCAGTGGACGATCTACAACTCATGTCAGAATCGAGATTCAACTAATAAATGAACGTTCATGAAACGAGCAAGTGCGACAATAAAAGTTTTATTCAACTATGTGTTTTTTGAATGTACAGCTCGTGCGTAAATGAATTGACCAATGATTACATGGCTAATGAATGCTTCTAACGATTCTTGCATCTTCGACATTCGTATATATTAGTAGTAATCTTCTGTTCACTATTATGTCCACTGATAAGCAATAGTTTGAACTTGGTCATCTAATCGATAGTCACATCACAAACGAATAGAATTTAGTGATGTTGCAATCACGACAACTACAATTATATTCGTGTACGTCGTTGACTTCAAAACGAACTTTTTCTATTCATTATATATCGGCTATCATATGAAAACTGAGTGCTTCTGATAAAGAGAACCACAATGATGATGACAAATATGAGAAAAATTCTGAACAGTTACTTCATTCACTTCAGGTGAATGGTATGAAATAAGTGAACTGATTTCTGATTATATGACAACTGAACATGTCTCAAGAGCGAAAAAACCATAACAATGGTTTTGGCGATGATCACCATGAATTTGTACAAATTTCTACGCAAGATCAATAAAAGGCTTTCAGATAGACAGCAAGGAGTTAGATCCCATAAAAATATGAATAGTCTCAATAGCAACGATGAATAATTTCAAATATCTTTTTACTTCAAAGCAATAGATGAAAAAACGTTATAGAAGGGGCAATGACGTAATAGATGATTATTCTTCATTACGACAAAAAAGCTATTGACATATGCTGTAGACTACGAAATATAGTTGATCACTTATATAAATAATCGAGAACTGCGTTGCCAGTGAATAGTAATGACGAGGAAAAGGACAGAAAAAGTGTTTCTCATGTGGAAGTTTTGGTAGGCGCTTCTCTGATGATGGCTCGGGTGGAGGTTGGTCAACTGTTGGCGCGAGTGAGTAGTGTTCAATTGACAGTAAGGGTGAGCGCTCTTTAGTGAATAATATGGGTGAGCGCCGTTCAGTTAATAGTATGGGTGCTTGTTGCTCAGTCAATAGTATGGGCGAGCGTTTTTCACTTGATGACACGGGTGAGCGTTGTTCAACTGATAGTATAGGTGAGCGTTGTTCAGTTGATAGCACTGGTGAGTGAGGCTCATTTGATGGTACGGGTGAGCGTTCTTCAGTTGATGGCACTGGTGAGTGATGCTCAATTGATGGTACGGGTGAGCGTTCTTCAGTTATTAGTATGGGTGAGCGTTGTTCAGTTGATAGCATGGGCGAGCTTTGTTCAGTTGATGACACAGGCGAGTGTTGTTTAATTGAAAGCATGGGTAAACGTTGTTCAGTTGATGGCATAGGTGAGCGTTGTTCAACTGAGAGTATGTGTGGACTTTGTTTAACTGATAGCTTGGTAGGATTTTGCTCAGGTGGTGCTTCGATCAACTGGATTGAATTGCGAAAATCTAAATAATTATAGATTATCAGATATAAATAATCAATTGAGAAAAAACGTTGTCCTGTATATCCAGGCAAATAAAGTCAATAAAAGAGGTTTTTAGAGATACCTGTATCAAATTTGTATCTGAAGAAATACAGAGTCAGTCTATGTTCTGTTTTTTTTTCAGCAAAATGGGCAGTAAGCTTCTCAAGTTTAAAAGAATGCTAGTAGTTTTATGCAGCTCTGTTTTAAAAGTTAATTATCGTATAAAGATTACAAAAATTATGCATACTCTTCTGTTTGATAAAGCTCCGCCGTATCCACACTCTGATCAGTGACACGCAGTACTCAATCAGCAATTTAACTAGTTGGTTAAAGATCAGCATCCGACTGATGTACTGTCGCTTGTCGATGTTTCATCATATCTTTTCAACGCATAATACAAATGCTTATCATTCAAACTGAGTTACCTGTACTGTTAATTAACTATAATGAAAATTTTTGTGATTAACAATTCAGCTGAGGTAGAAAGTCTCACGAACTCAAGTACCTTAACATTCAATCGATAGCGATGCATTTGAACTTATACTCACTTTATACGGACTGCCATCATGAGATATGTTTTTGTTAGAAAGTTGTTCTCTCGTTCTTGCCTCAATGAAAAGCCTATTTCCTCAAGACTGCGAGAAAACTCAAAAGATGTCACAGAAACTGACGCGTAAGGAATTTTTCATTAAGATTATTAATATATAGCGTCTCCGGCTTCTATAATAACATTTTTTTCTCGATGCTTTGAGACTGAAAATGTTGTTACTTTTGTTTCTAACTATTTAATAAGTCTCACTACGTTCATATTTCGTTTGATATCCTTTGATCTTCTCCAAGCGTCACAGACCATGGTAGAAATTTCTACGTACTTGTCTTTTTAATCTTTACCGACAGTGCTCGACACGTCTACAACCCTGCTTTACCGATAGAGAGGTTCCATTGTCTTGCAAATTTTATTCCGGCAGAAATTTTGCTGAAAACTTTTTAAGATGAATAGATTGTTGGAACTCTAGGAACATTACTCAGTACGTATGGATATTTCTTTCTTTCTGATCTGCATACACATTCGCCTTTCTTCTACAGAACAATTTAGATCAACTTATCTGATGTCATCATTATCTTGACGTTTATTTGAAGTACTAATATTAAGATTTTATTTCAATGAAAACTCTTACAGACTTTCGGTATTTGAGAAAGAATATTTTTAACGCTTACCATTTGCTCCTACTAGACACACAACATATAAACCATCGGCAATCATGATCGGAGTGCCATCCATACGCACTTTCATTCCGGGCCACAATAACACTTCCTCCAAATCAGAAGTGGTGTAACCAGTTACATTCTTCCCATCAACAGAGTCGATTCTAAAGAGAATTCCATTGGGACCGAGATGTTCTTTGATAGCATGAAATGACGTTGAACCAGAACTCAGACCACACCAGATCATTTCTGTATTATTTTTTATTACATTCATGTCATCACCGTACATTCCTCGCCAAATTTCTTTTGTCACATTAGGCAATTTATCGATTCCAGATTTCAACAAGGTGAGATAGAGAAGCCAAGGTATGATTTGAGATCGATTTTTAGATTGCAATGCTTCATTCAACTGGTCATAAACACAATTTTCGCCATATAGCATAGTGTAGAGATAAATAGCGGCGGATTCATCACGAGTGAGGCCGTGCTCTGATGGAAAATGACAATTTTTTTTGGCCATTCTTATGTAATGAGGATCAATTGGAGGAACAATGGGTTCCAGAGCTTGTTCAAGGGAGACGATAGGTTTTCTCAAATCTGAATCCGTGAGTAGTGGTCGATTTGTATTGTTGAGATCAACGTCGGTAAATCGATGCAATGCAAGCAATTCAGTGGGGTCAGTATAGGAAGTTTCGTTCTGTCCGTAAGATGGTGCACAGCCCATGTCTTTAAAATAATCTATGAAAAGGAATAAACTGGATAAAACTTTTTTCTGACACAAAATTATTTTTTTTTTCGGAAAGGCAACACATCAGATGAATGTTTAAGTATTGAGTCTTAGTCTATCCTTGTCACAGGAAAAGAACTCCTTGCAAGAGAGAGAGAGAGAGAGAAAGACTACGATGCGCTATTTTTACCTTGCGGAAAACCTTTTGGGCCATTTTCAACGTGTGCCACTCTCCTTCTCTTCCATGCGCCCAAAATCTCTCTGTTAGGCTTTTTAGGCCTAAGGTTCACTACGGGATTTCTAAAATAATTTTTATTTCCTCTTCCAGTGAAACTCATCTGATGGGATATAATTGATCTCTCCTAGTCACGAATATAGGTAACAGAAAAATCGAAAATGATCCTATGAAGAAAAATCTTCAAATTAATTATTGAAAAGTACATCACTCTTCTTGATTTTCGCCAAAAGGCACAGTCAGTACTTCCCCTAGCTAAGAAAGAATTGAAAAACTCAAATAGATAGTGATTCCGATACATAATGTTAAATTGAACCCGAATATGTAATTGAAGAAATAATTGAAGGGTTGATTTTTTCCAGTGATTGTAGAGGTCATTCGTCAACTTTTATTGTCAAACCATGAGTTCCATATTCTAATTTTCAGGCGCTTTCATATGAAAAACAACTGGTTTAATGTGTTTGATTACGAGAACCAATGTAAAGATGGAGACTTCTATTGAATGTTACGCAAAAACTAGTAGGAATGTGGTTCTCTATTTCGAAAGGGCCGCCCATTATACGATGAGTTGAATCTTTGCTTCTCTTGAAGCATAAATAACAAGAATTTAAACTTCAATATCCAATGTTCTTTTACTCAAATAGTAGTAACAGCATTGCCTTGGATCAAGAGAATATCGTATGAAAAAAAAAGAACCAACCAACATTCAGAACCAGTGGGATAGTGTAGAGCACATTACTATTGCTTACTGTTGAAGAAATCATCACATTTCTCTCAGAAGCAGTTGTGATCGATGGCAAATCTAAATATATTCAATTCTATTACATGAATCTGTAAAGGAATGTTTGAAAATGAAAAGAGCATGATATTTTTATTGAATTGCGCCTCATATGAAGCCAGCATCATGTTTCTTGCCTCTCTTTCTATTATTGCGGTCTCTTCGATCAAGTGTGGCTTCGAAAAATAATTATGCATTGAGTGAATTTTTTCTTTCGTTATTATACCAAAAGCCGAAGCAACAACAACTTCGGTTGCATCGAAACCAATGAAAAGAGTGACAAAGATGCATTGTTTACGTCGATGAATATTCAATGTCAATGTAAAGAAGAAACAAGCTTATTCATCCAAATGCATTATATTTTCACCAAATAAAACTAAGGCTACATCTTCATCGTTGAAAATTAAATCAGAGTCTCTCAAATGAACTGCCACAGAGATTTTGATCGTCGATCAGCAGTCTCTAAGTGTTGGGAGAACTGGACGAATGCCAAGAGTATATCGAAGGAGTACATATGTTTGTGGACAAAGAGAAGAATCACACCCAGATCCTCATTACTGGAACAAAAAGCATTAAATATTTTCTTCTTTTTATGGATGTTTTGCTTTAATGTAAAAATTACAAGTATTCTTCAATGAACATAAACTGTAAATGAACTTCTTTGGAAATACTGTCACATGTCATTTTTCTCATTAAGTTGCTATTGTGATGATTTTTTAACATGATCTGAAGCGACTCAAGAAATATCAAGAATGGAATGAGCACTTTCTTGATCTTACTCAATCTGAAGTTCAACAATACCCAAGTGATTCGACTAGAGATTGCAAAAACAAGTTTTTTACATTTCAGTCATAGCTTCTGTTTTGATTCTTGCCTATAGAAAATTACTTCGAAACATATACTCTTGCTATCGAAAAGTTATCAAGATTTTGGTTTTTCCAGTTGAGTTATAGTGTTATTGGCATCATATATAAAATAATTTGTTCAGAGACAATAGAAAATCTAACTTACCAGTATCAGTTTCATAATACTTTTAGGTTTGACCAACAAACTACAATTTGAACTTTTTATATTAGTACTCGATATGACTATATCAAATCATTGCTTGATCATGCCTCTTCAATAGATAATCAAGTCGATCAACTTGAACCATATTCAATAGAATGTATGCTTCTTACTATCAAGTATCCTCAACTTTTATTCATTATCACTTGTTAGTTTTCAAGAAGAAATACTCTTTCAATGAGCAACATAAGATGAGATGCCTATTTAAATGCCATGATTAAACAACTTTATTTTTAGTATGTACACAGCTGTTTTTAACAAGAATGCTAGAATTGATCTGCATATGTCAAAATTAGATCAATGAAGATCAAAGGTAGGACTCATATCGTTTTACTTTGGTATCAACTCTAAACCTTGATTCATTTCAACAGTTCTTTTCAAGATGGTTTATTTGATATAGTTTGATGTTTATTAATGAAATTTCATAAATATATAATTAATTAATTATCTGTGAAACAGATTGAACAGCGAATAAATGACACAAACCGTACAAGGTGTTTGATAGAATTAGTGTACGAGCTATTTAAAATACTCTGATTTTGTAAGCAGTTTTTTTAAATGTTACAAAAGATGATAGTTATTTGTGATATGAAATACTTTGGAAAAAAGTTTTTAGATCATTCAGTTCTCATCATAGATAGAAACTAATTGAAATCAAATGTTTGACCAATAGTCTTTGAAATAAGTTTTAAACAGAAATTCTTTTATCCACTAAACAATTATAAAAATTGACTGTATTTTCAAATGAAACTATATTTTCAAAAATTTGTAATATGATTAGTTATTGTATATTTGTAAAAAACAATTATAAATAATATATGCAATATTAATAAACCTCTGCTCCATAGATTTTCAATATATGTTTTTTTTCGAAAAACTGTTTTAATTCATGAGGTAGTATTTAACAGATTTTTCTTTAATGAATGTATATAAAAATGTATTCATATAGTAGTCACTGCTATATAACGCCCTCTCTTTAACTTAGAGGCTATGCGTAGTTTTAATGCAATGGTGAAACAGTATATGTAGCTTATCACAATCGTAGATGTTTACATCATATTATTGATCATTGTTATATGTCATTTTCCAAATAAGAAAAATGGCTTTAGCTAAGCGTATAAAATATCCGAGTGTTATTGAAAGATATTATACAAAATATTATCGTCCTAATGTTCATAATGAATCAAATAATGATACACTTGTACTTGTTCATTCAAATCGTGTTTGTGTTTTAATGCTTTCTGAACGACATCCAATAACAGAAGAATCTTTAGTTATTAATTCAATTGAATCATTAGCTAATATTAATCAATCAATGAGTGGTAAATCAAAACGTGGAGCTGATTATGTTCAACCAAATAAATTACTTTATCGTATAAAATGTGAAAATAATCAAAATTTTACTATATGCGCAAGTATAAAAGGACGTTTAGTTGAATTAAATGATGAAATTATAAAAACACCTGAACTTTTACAACAAAAACCACAAGGTGAAGGTTATTTAGCAATACTTATTCCATCTTTAAAAGATGGAGAAAATAATCTAAAATTATTAATAAATGAGCAAGATTATATTTTATCAAAACAATCTTCATAAATTCATTCCTTCATTTTCTTTAAGTGTCAGTTATGAAAATATGGACAGTTTTTTTTTTGTTTCATTATTCTAGATTATTTTTTGTCTTTATTTTTGTTTACTTGTCTTTTTTGAGAGTAAGGAAGCATGAGCATGTGGGTTTTTTTTTGTTATGCATCTTCCCCATGTATGTTTATTATTATTTTTTTCTTGTCTATTAAACAATAAATGCGATTAATTCTCTAATCTTCTAGTTAAGCCAAACTAATGGGTTGGGAAGAATTACCAACTATTTTATTAGAAGAAATTTTCAGTCTTCTACCAATCCGTTATCGTTATTATTGTTCTCAAGTTTGTCGATCATGGTATATATATATACATTAACCTCTAATATTCATTTATATTAATTATATCTATCTTAGGTATAAAACATTTCATTCACCTATTATTTGGCAAACATTTATATTTGATGGTATTGTATTTACACGAAAAAAATTTAATTTATTTCGTGGTTATGAACGTATTCTTAATTCATATCGTGTTCAACTTTATTTACCACGTAAAAGTCAATATATAAAACGATTAATTATAAAACCTATACCTGAATATCATAATATGTGTGATTTTCTTAATATATTAACAACATTTTTTCATTATTATGGTTCAGATGATTATCCATTACCATATCTTGAAGAATTTTCATTTACATTTCATGTCTTAGTATCAATTGATGATGATACAAATAATCAAGGTGCTATAATAAATGCATATTATCAACAACCAAATGTATTTATATCTGGTAAAAAACGTTATTATGGTACAGGTGGAATTATTTTACAAACATTACGTCGTTTTATTTCATCAATTCGTTGTTTAAAACGTTTTCACTTAAATAATCTATTACTTGAATCAAATTCTGATATAGGTGCATGTCTTGATGAACTTCTTGAAAATTCATGTGAAACACTTGAATATATTGAAATACTTAATTACACATCACAAATTATACCATTGTATATAGTTGGATTATTTACAAATTTATATATAATATCAATAAGTTCACATTCATTAAATGATGATGTTCTTCTTTTATTTGCTAATCATCTTATTCATTTACATCGATTAAATATTATACAAGATGAATTAACAATACCATGTCGTTATTCAGATTCAATTTGGACTGAAATTGATATTATTTTACGAGAAAATAAACGAGAATGGTGTATACGAATGATAACAAATGGTAAATGTAAAAATGAACCATTTTGGTTAACAAAACCAGCACCAGTACGAGCTATTGTTTATGATACAAGTTTAATTAGAGTAGTACAAA